ATTATTATTGTGATACCTGTACGAAAAGGAACAACCAAACCAAGCAGAGTGGTTATGGAATATGTAATTCTTTATTAAATAAAACAATATTTATTTTCCTAATAAATATTTCTTTATACATTTATAAACGTTTGGCGTATAATATATATTATACGTCATTGTCAAATCTGTCTGTACCAAAAACATGGCAGCTGATTTAAAGTCCCATTAAAGAAATTAGGCCATTCCTATGGTGTTACAGTTATTTATACGATCCTTTCATATATTTTTTTAATAAACTTTTACCCGTTTCAAAATTTTCTGCAAGATAACAAGGCAGATATATACATTAGTTCCTTTTAAGTCCGTTTCACATCATGAATGACATTCATACACGTCAATACACGTCATATCCTCAAGAAAATAAACTTAGAATAATTTTTTAGTTCAGTATTCACTTTAGTACTCAAAAAACAATAATTTAATTAAATATCAGTAAAAACCATCGAGCAAAAAGACAAAAGAGGGAATCTAATAGTTATGAAAACGAGACCAAAAAAGTGGCCTCTGATGGCGGACATATCCGGAAATGCGAATGCGCCAAATTTAAATTTTTCGACACTTATTAACAGTAACTATAAAATAATTTTCAGAATGTGTCTTAGACGAGAAAGTTTTAATTAAATATTAACGATAACAATCTAAAATGTGAAACAATTGTTAAAAAACTTCAATATAAATAAGATTTCATATGACAGTTGGGACAAACAATAACATAACCCAACTAAATTTGATTTCTTAAACAAGGAAAGACTCTCTTTGCTTGTTTAATTTGGCCTCTTAAGATGGCATTTCCTGTGTAACAATATTTTTGCCCCCTCTACCTTTACATTCCCTCTTTTGTCTTTTTGCTCGATGGTAAAAAGACAGTTCGTCAAATGCAAATTGGATGAGTGCAGCGGTAATAATAAAGAAATAAGCCATTGCTCGAGTAAAATTAGTTGTTTTTTAAATGTCGTTAATTTGTCTGAAATTTGAGTACTTACAATAACCGATGGATACAACACACCTTGTTAATATTGATGGGATATCATTTTTTTTTTAATAATTGTGGTCCATGATTCAAATAAGTCCTTCAAGATAGGCAACATACATTTCATGGTTTGCAATGTATGTACAACCTAATGTACATTTTATATCAAGCAAAAGACAAAAATTATGATACATATAAAACTTTATTAATAATTACGATATCATATGTACGAAAATGTTTTTTTTTTTCTTAAAAGAAGTTTTTGTTGTCATTATAATATATTCTGCTTCAATATTTAATTAATTTAAGAGGATGATTTTGTCTGAAGATTGAATCTAGATAGTTATTCAAATAATATTGGCCACAAACCAAAAAAAACTAAGAATTCTATGTTAGACTTTATTAATTTGTCCAAAAATCACACTTTAATCAAGAGATAAAACTCTTGGACTGAGAACTTTTTACTGTAAACCTTTGTATAATAAGGTAAAAAGTTGTGTACCGCCAAAAATACTGTACGGATGGAAAGGGAACAAAGATAAAGCTTGAACAACTATATGTTATTCAAAGACAAGTGTCCAAATAATGGAAAAGAAGAATTTCAGCGGATATATTATGATAAGATTAATGTCAATATCATAAAACAGCAATTTTACTTGTGACAGTGTCACCTACCGACTGAAGTTTGAATGATACACCTTTGTATGATACAGTAAAGAGTTGCGTAGTACCAAAAAAAGATCATATAGACGTAAAAGGAACAAACAAGGAGCTTCCAAAAATTATATAGTGTTATGCAAAAGAGAAAATCAAATAAAAGTGTCTAAATACTGAAAAACAAAAATGTCAGCGTAGAACCAACCTAAAAATTAATATATCTCAGAAGTTAAGTAACAAATATGAATGAAAAGGATTAAGGCGATCACCTATAAGATTTGTTGGTTCTAAAGGAGCAAAATCATTTTTTAATCAGCAGATAAATCTACTATATAGTTGATTAAATCATTGTTGAAGGCTTCAACTTCTCCAAACAGCAATTTTACTTGTAACAGTGCCCCCTATCGACTGATCTGAGAAAGTTTAGTGATGCATCTTTACATGATGAAGTAAAGAGTTTACAATACCAAAAAATTACTGTATAGATGAAAACCAAACAAACATAGAACTTGTAAAACTTTATTACTCTACAAAGGACACACAAAAAAAGAAAAGTATCCTATTAATGAAAAATATGAATGCCAGAGATCACAAATAGGGATGTGGAGATCCTAACCGGATACAATGCATCGTTTTGTCAAAAATACACTTTAAAACAAGTAATAGAATTGTTTAATAGCGCCATCTATCGACGCAATTGAGTACTTTTGAGTGTACAACTTTGTATGAGGAACTTAAACTGTCATGTAACACTGAAAAGACCGTAGTCCAGCTGAAAGAGGAACAAAACACAGAGCTTGCAGAACTATATGTTACACAAAACAAAAACGAAAAGAAACAAAGAAAAGTGTCCAAATTATGAAAAACAAGAATGCCAGAGATCACAAACAGCGATTTGGTGGTCCTAAATAAATACAATGTCTTAATTTTGCCAAAAATACTCTTTAAAACAATAGATAGAACTGTTTATTTGTTTTAATTACTGTTGAAGCAAATGTAAACTTCACCGAACAGCAGTTTTAATGATAATAGCGCCATCTATCGATTGAATTGAGTAGTTTTTAGTGTACAATAAACACAGGGCTAGCAAAACTACAAAATGTTATACAAAAACGAAAAGAAACAAAGAAAAGTGTCCAAATAATGAAAAACAAGAATTCCAAGGATCACAAATAGGGATTTGGTGGTCCTAAACGAATACAAAGTCTTCATTTTGCCAAAAATACTCTTTAAAAAAATAGATAGAATTGTTTATTTGTTTTAATTACTGTTGAAGTAAATGTCAACTTCACAAAACACCAATTTTACTGATAATAGCGCCATCTATCGACTGAATTGAGTACGTTTTAGTCTACAACTTTATGAGCCAACAATACGGAGACGGGTGCAACCCCTTTCGCATTTGTGTACGACCTCGATATGCTGGTAGTGGCGCGGGACAGGCAGGACCTTATCTTATACCTTATCCTTGGTGTACAGCGTACATGCAACCAAGTCGAGGAATGGACGAAAACGCATGAGCTAGAACTGGCTGCGAGTAAGACCGAGGCTATAGTTCTCAAGGGACCAAGGAAAAGGGACAGGATAACATTCGACTGCGCAGGAAAGAGAGTGGTTCCAAAGAAATGCGAGAGGTATTTAGGGGTGACTATGAGTCAAAACGGAAAGTAGGGGCAGCACGTAAAGGCGGTGACTCAAAGAGCTGCAGAGATATGCGCCGCATTGGAGGGGATCATGCTCAACATCAGAGGGTCCAAAACTGAGAGGAGGAGGGCCCTTCATTTTGTTGTGCAATCGATAGTCCTCTACGCTGAGCCTGTCTGGTGTACTGCAATTTTAACAAAGGAGTACAGAAAGCAGCTCACCCGATCAGATAGGAAGAGTCTATTGAGGGTGATGTGTGCATACAAAACACTCTCTTCTGAGGCGTTGGGAGTTATCACCGGATGTATTCCGATGCACTTGCTAGTGAAGGAAAGAGGAAGAATATACGAGACACGAAATAAAGACAGCAAGAGAACGTTTAAAAAAAGAAGAACGGGAGAGGTCCATAATTGCAAGCACCGGCGTTTGGATTACTTCCTGACGCAGATGCTCACAGGACATGGTTGCCTCAGGGCATACCTTTACAGATTTGGAAAAGCAGAAAATGACAAATGCCTGTATTGTGGAATATCGGACACTGTCTCACACACTCTATTGGTATGCGATAGATGGATAGGTGAGAGGAGCCAGCTTGGGAGAGAGCTAGGAAGTAGGGCGTAATCAGTCTCGGAACTGGTGGAGGAGAGACATGCTTACCTCGTCAGATAGGTGGAGAGCAGTTCAGAGGTATTTGAAGAGAACATTGGAGAGAAAGGAACAAAAACAAAGGCGACCCGAAGGGAGGCAAGGTGACCAGGGGCAAGAAGATAAGGCAGAATGAGAAGGGCTGAGATTGAACACGAACAGGGAGGAACGGAGAGAGAGAGAGAGAGAGAGAGAGAGAGAGAGAGAGAGAGAGAGAGAGAGAGAGAGAGAGAGAGAGAGAGAATGCAGTGCCGATGTTGCGTCTCAGGTAGGTCTCTGGCATTGACGGCGATGGTGGCCACGCAGGAGGAGTCCTGCATAGCGACTGGAAGGTAGTTTTGCCCCCTTTCTAGGACCGAGGTATGTTTCGATCATTTGGACCACCCCCTTCATAAAAGAATAAGAAAAAAAGATAGTAGTCAAGATGAAAGAGGAACAAACACACAGCTTACAAAACTATATGCTATACAGAACGGAAAGAAACAAAGAAAAGTGTCCAAATAATCAAAAACAAGAATGTCGGCGTAGAAATAACCTAAAAATGAACATATCTGGGAAGTAAAGTGATACATATGAGTTGAAAGGGTTAAAATGATCATTATAAAATATTGTATTTTGAATTTTAATCAAAGTTTCTACATTTTTCAGTAACTATTAAGTGTTAATAAGTCAAATAAAATCTACCATTGTTGTTTTGTTATAAAAATATGTATTTTCCTGTTGACTTTTTTTGTACAATCAAAATTGGTTCCAAAAAAGTTCTTACATTTCAATTGTTATACAGTGACATCAGAATACACAGCATCTCATGAGCACTCTAAAATGTAATACACCGAAATATTCAAGTTTCGAAAATAAATCGGTACTAACAACTTGTGAAATACATGAATCTCACGCTGTCATTGAATTTATTACAGAGACCTACCTAGTAAGTTTTTACAAATTGCCAATAGAAGGCGCTTTTGACATGTGTCAAGATTATATCATTATAATTTGATATTTTTAACATCTAAACACTGAAGATTGAATGAAATAATGCATTACAACCATACAAAACGTTTTTTTAATGTGATTTTTGTAGAAACTTAAAAAGTTCGTCTCGTAGTGCTAGCTTTACTTATAAAACGAAACAGTCATACAATTATTGATTCTTTTCTAAAGCTTAAGTAGTATAATACCTTAACTGCGAAGATAAAAAATAAATTACATTGATGTCGGAGACCAAAAATTCATTTCTCGCAATTCAGACGGTTTGGCTCGATAGACAGGCGGCGTTTTGATAGGCTGTTGTTGTTGTTCGACGAGACTCACTGCGGACGAAGTGCGTTCGAGATCTTCTTTGACTTCTTCCTTTATTTGACCAACTGACTGGGATATTTCTCGTTTGGCGTATAAATTTGACAATATCCAACTACCTACGAATTAAAACCAAGTCAGTAAAGAACAAACACTCTAAAAGTCTAGACTTTTAATACTTTTATAGACTAAAAAGACTAAATAGAGAGTTATAATTGACAAAAAATTCGGTTTCATAGAACTACCAACAGGTGGCGCCACCTAATAGCAGATTTACAAAGTTTTATTATAATAGGATACCTCTATGTGGCCAAGTTTACAATGTTTACATGTATATTAGTTTTTAAACTACGGAACTTTTGGAAATGTTATTTGTAACGCATTGCATATATATACTTAATAATGAAAATAAGATTATTACACACGAATGTGCTAAATAAGTTTTATTGAAAAGAAAAAAAGGGTTATTAAGAACTGATTATACGAATTTTCCAAAGATCTAGCTGATAAAACGTTTCTTAAGCCTTACCTTTAGATTTGTCCACATCGGTAAATGCTCCAGTGAAGTACTTATTGACCCTTCTATGTGCTTTCGGACTGCTGCCGGGAGACGTGAGCGGAGATGCCGGTAGAGATTTACTGTTGCGACGCCTCGAGCCGTCGTACTTTTCCTCCTTGGGTTCCTCCGGATAACAGGTTCGAAGGCCCAGGCCTTGGTTGGAAATCATCTGCGAGGCCACCTTGATTATGGAAGAACCACATTTGGCTGCTTCCCCTTTGAACCCGTCGTCTGTACCGGGCGATTTGATTTTCATTTCTGTGCTCGTTTGAGGTGGTACGTCTGAAAGACAATAACGATAGGTTAAGAAATATATCAGGACAGTGGAGATCTCGGTTATGAATTAGTCTGTATGTTAGAAACAAGTGAAGCAATTGTAGATATGAATAAATAAAAAAAAATAATTTAATTCACGTTGCGATGAAGACAAAATATTAAGCTGACCTTAAGTTGGCCCACCTATTAAATTTGCCGTTTAAGTCGATTACAATAAACAAATTATACTCTGTATTTTCTGATAAGTTCACATATTAATTAATATGCCATTTTTATTAATATTTATTAAAAACATTACCCTTATGGTAAAATGCGTTAGGCTTTCACGGCCATCGTCATACAAAAAGTACAGTGGTCAACCTTTCAGATAAACTTTTAACTCCAGCCGAGACATCATTGCTAACCAAAGGGGGAAATTTTGCGATCGCTTCTTCTTCTTCTTTAAGTTCCATCTTCTATCGAAGGTTGGAAATCATCATGGCTATGCGGACTCTGTTGACTGCCGCTCTAAAAAGTCTGCACTACTGCATTCAAACCATTCCCTTAAGTTCTTAAGCCAGGATATTCTTCGTCTTCCCACATTTCGCTTTCCTCGGATTTTGCCCTGCATAATAAGTTGTAATAATGCGTATTTTTGCCCTCTCATCACATGTCCCAAGTACTCAAGTTTTCGTCTTTTAATAGTTAATATTATTTCCGCCTCATTTCTTATCCTTCTAATTACTTCCATGTTTGATATTCTTTGAATCCATGATATTCGTAGGATTCTTCTGTAACACCAAAATTCAAAGGCGGCCAGCTTATTCAGATGAACTTGTTCTAACCTTATATCCCGACAACAAAGAAACTTTTTAAGTTTAATAAATGATGTACGTGCTATTTCAATACGTGTCTTAATTTCTTTGGTTTGGTCTACATCTGATGTTATCCATGTTCCTAAATATTTATAGTTATTAACATTCTCAATTGCAGTATCTTCAATAGTCAATTGGATATTTGCATGTGCAGATTTAGTCATGATCATGCATTTAGTTTTCTTTAAATTTATCTTCAGTCCGTACTCATGACAGCGTTCATTAAGGCGTTGCATTAGGTTCTGTAAATCATTGTTGTTATCCGTAATTATTACTGTATCGTCTGCAAAACGTAAGTTATTCAAAACTTCTCCATTGATAGATATACATTCTATTGAGTCTGAGAGCGCTTCTTGAAATACCGCTTCACTGTAGACATTGAAAAGTAGTGGGGACAGCACGCAACCCTGGCGGACTCCTCTCTGTATTTTGATATTTTCGGTGTACTGGCTGTCAACTCTTACCTTGGCAGTTTGATTCCAATGTAAATTAGATATAATTTTCAGATCACGACTGTCAATATTTTTGCTTGTTAATATATCTACAAGCTTTTTATGTTGAACTTTATCAAATGCCTTTTCAAAGTCTACAAAACATAAGTACATATCTTGATTCATGTCCATGCATCTCTGAGCCAGCACATTCAAGCCGAACAAAGCATCTCTTGTACTCATACCATTTCTAAAACCAAATTGTGTGTCACTAATCTCATATTCAAGAGTTTTAACAATTCTGCTGTGAATTATTTTCAAAAATGTTTTAAGTGTGTGACTCATTAAAGCTATTGTTCTGTGGTCTGAGCAAGTTGATGAACTTGGTTTTTTGGGAATTGCTACAAAGGTTGATTGCAGCCATTGTCTGGGGATTGTGGCAGTCTGATATATAAGATTAAAGAGTTCAACCATTACATCAATAACATCTTCATCGATGAGTTTTAATAATTCGATGGGCACTTCATCTGGTCCAGTAGCTTTACCCTCTTTTGTGTTTTTGATGGCATAGATGACTTCTTCTCTTAATATTGGTGGTCCAGTATCCTCGGTGATTTTTAATGACAGTTCTTCTCTTTCATCATTAAATAGTTGTTGAATGTAATTGGTCCAGTGACATAATCTCTCCTTCATATCGGCAATAATATTCCCTTTATCATTTTTAAGGATATTCGTTTTTGTACGCTTTCTAGAACCTGTCATTTCTTTGATTTTTTTTGTGTAAATTAAAGCTATCGTACTTTTTATCCAGATCTTCTATTTCCTTGCATCTATCGGAGAGCCACCTCTCTTTTTGCGATCGCACCTAAAGTTATACTCAAAGAAGATATCATCGCTAATACCGAGTATGCGATTCGCAACTTGTAGCAATAATAATTTCCTTTAAAATACATGTATAAAAATTTTGTAGTACACTTTTGAGTTATATATATATATATATATATATATATATATATATATATATATATATATATATATATATATATATATATATATATATATAAATTTTGGTGTTTTTTGTTTACATTCAAATCCCCTAATTATCTGTTTACATTGTGAGGTAAAAGAAAAGATCTCCAAAATACGGTTATAACTAGATGTATGTAAGATATTTTTTGTATCTACTTTGGGAGTAACAAGCCCTTGCATAAGAAGTGTAATAAGTGGTAGAATAGAAGGCAGTTTCGAAGAAAAACGAGGAAGACATGGAAAGCAAAAAAATAAGTCTGGTGCCAAAATTGATATTCGTGCACATATTGAATCAATTCCGAAGATCGAAAGTCACTATACAAACATTCTGAAAAATAGTACATTGAAGGAGGAAAAACAATTACGAATACAACAATTATTATGAATATAACTTGGTATTCTTTGTTCCTAAGAAGGACCAATGCCAAAGGAAGGACCTCACCAGACCGAGGACTTCGAGACCATCAGTTGTTATCAATAGGTTCTCGAAGACACTTCGTCTCAGGACCATTTTACCTATGTAGGGTCATACGTCGCCATGTTACCGATTCCAACGGTAACTTAAACATCCTAATTTGTAACTACACTCACAGGCAAAATTAACAGAACACCTTAAAATTGGGACATGTTAGATGTCTCGAATTTCCTAAACCTGTTGTCCGATTTTAGTGATTTTTTTAGTATGTTATAGGTATATTATTTAAGAATATCGATGTAATAATATTGTTGCTAGACAGGTCAATGTCATTTTATACCGGGTGTAACAATCCTACTGTGTTTTTTCCTTAAAGTTCGGAACACCCTGTGGAATATTCTAGCATATATAAAATATTGAAATTAAAACTTAATTATAGCCTCAGGCTTTCTTAACATTTTCTTTTTTGATTCATTTGCTTATGTTTGATAATAAAAAAGTTAGGTACGTTAACAACTAGCCATGTTTTTCATCAATAAATCCTCATTTTCTGCTTAGTTTAATAAACAAGCCTAAAGTAGGCTATGAGAAGTTAACAATTTAATACACACACCGGCAAATTTAAAGGAACCTGTTATTAATGCAATATTTCTTTATATTTGTATTTTATAGACTATATCTACATAGCTTTGAAAGCTCCTTGTCACAAGAAAGTCTTAAATGTCAAATTAATTTGTTTATTTGTATTGTGTTTTACATTTTACAGTCATTCTGTCTGTTCATAACAAGTACAAACTTGTATTTAATTGAGCGCATAGTAAGAAAGAGACTTAAAAAAGCCGGTCTCAAGTCATATGTGCCAATAAAAGCTCCCAGACTCCAGAGACACCATCGTTTAGCACGACTACAATTTGGTCGAGTACATCAAAATTGGAATGATAACCACTGGAGTCAAATTCTCTTTACGGACGAGAGCCGTTTCTGTGTAAATTACATCGACGGTAGAGAAAGATTGTATCAACGCCAAGGAGAACGAAATGCCCCTTTCAATTTTACTACGACCGTACCTTTTGGTGGAGGTTCAATTATGGTGTGGGGCGGTATATGTTTGGGAGCAATAACAGAGTTAGTGGTGATTGATGATGGAGCATTAACAGCAGATAAGTATATCAGAGATATTCTCCAAGACCATGTGGTACCTTTTTCACCATATATTGGCGAAAATTTTATTTTAATGCAGGATAATGCGAGCCCACACGTCGCAGACTGTGTAAGATATTTCTTATTACAAGTGGGTATAACAACGATGAATTGGCCAGCTTGTTCCCCAGACCTAAACCCGATAGAGGATATGTGGGACATGCTAGGCAGAAAACTTAGGGCACGGGTTCCTGCTATTCAAAACAGAGAGGAAGTCACAATTGCTTTGATTGAGGAATGGGAGAGACTGCCCAACAACTGATCGATAGCGGTATCAGAAGTATGAGAAGACGAATAACTGCAGTTGTAAGGGCTCGTAGGGGAAACACACGCTATTAAAGCCAAAAAAATGCATAAAAAACCAATTTAAGTTCAAACTGTACAATAAAGTTAATGCGTTTAAAATCCGTATTTTGTTGAGTCTGACATCTTTGTGTTTTATTTCTTCTTAAACAGGTTTTATATTGTACTACCATTGTAATATAAATTCAAAATACTTCACCAACATTCGTATTATGATATTATCTAAACAGTATATAGACTAGAGAGAAAATACTCAGATTTTATGGTTGTTCCTTTAAATATGCTGGTGAAACTAAGAAGAAAATGAGCATTTATTGATGAAAAACATGGCTAGTTGTTAACGTACCTAACTTTTTTATTATCCAACACAAGCAAATGAATCAAAAAAGAAAATGTTAAGAAAGCCTGAGACTATAATTGAGCTTTAATTTCAATATTTTATATATGCTAGAATATTCCACAGGGTGTTTCGAACTTTAAGGAAAAAACACAGTATGATTGTTACACCCGGTATAAAATGACATTGACCTGTCTAGCAACAATATTATTTCATTGATATTCTTAAATAATATACCTATAACATACTAAAAAAATCACTAAAATCGGACAACAGGTTTAGGAAATTCGAGTCATCTAACATGTCCCATTTTGTAAGGTGTTCCGTTAATTTTGCCGCGTGAGTGTATATATAATGTAAAGCAACTGTAAATTTATAACATTTAAAGGGTTTTGACCCATATATTTGGTGGCTCGTAGCATGTATACTCTGTTTAC